CTGCATTCATCAACGCAAGCAACACAATGTGGAGCTAATTTACACAACATCGCCTTGCAATTCATGCAGGGCGTTGCACAACACACCTGCTGGGTGTGTACACACTACGAAGGTGTCTAGATTCCACCAATAGATCATGCTGGGAGGGAACACACTACAGAGGTGTATACTTGTTCGTGGCGTGTTTATAAGGTTAGTAAATCAACCCCCATATCTTTAAGAACCTCGTGGTGAGTCTCTACATGTTCACACGTTGTCCTATTTATTGCTCGAGATTCACTTGCACCATCTCTGTCTCCCTTCTTCTCGATTTATATTAACACAATCCGGAAAACAATTTTGACCACATGATCAACCACTGACGACATTGAATCAACATCATTATCCCGTCCATGCCCACCTGCAACCACACCCTTAAATGTGTACTTGGTCGTAGCGCTTCTTCCTCTGCCTTCGTCCACACCAGTCGGACACCCCGGTCCATACTAATTAGAAGCTGCATACCAGTTAAACACCACCTAAATCCATTACACCTGTGCTGTGGGGGCTAATATTCTGCTCATACGGGAAAAAACATTAAAAATAAAAAAACACATTTGGCTAATCGTAATTATGAAAATTGTGACTGGAGTTTTTCTGTGTTGATATGAATTTTAGAATTGGATACAAAGTATTTCGGCTTCTAAGAAAGCTTTAGGCGACACTAAACTCAGAAGATAAACCTTAAAATTACATTCAAGTATTAACAAAAATGTATCTTATCTGTGCATCATTCAGCCGCAGAGCCTCAAATCAGCTCTGAATTCATGCCGACAAGGTCTTTCCTTCTGGAGGGTGGCTACTTTTGTTCCACATGGTCCTTGCGTGTGTTGTAAAGTAGGCACCGCACCAAGCTTGCTCCAGTGATGGACTACAATCTAACATTTAGTTTAGTAATTTTTTTATGAGATTGCAGTCCATCAAGGGAGTAAGCTTGGAGTGGTGGCTACTTTACAACACACACAGGGACCATGGGGAACAAAAGCCACCCTCCAGAAGGAAGGACATTGTCAGCACAAATTCAGAGATGATTTGAGGATCTACAGCTGAGTGATAACCAAATAAGCTACATTTTTGTTAATAGTTAAGGCACTTGAATGCATTTTAAAGATTTAACTCCTGAGTTAAGGGTCACTTTAAAACTATATATGCAAATATTAAAAAATCAAGAAAAAAAGCAATATGTAGATATGTTCATTGGCAAGTATGTACTGCTTATTAAAATGAAAGAGGAAAAAAAAAAAAAAAAGGAATGAAAGGATGTCTTACCTTTGAATCCTTGGCATAGTACAGGGTTCTGCCCCGAAGCTTAAAATAGCGTTTTTTCCATCTTTGAAATGAACTGGTTTGCTTCAGTAATAATCCTTCTTTGATACTTGTCTGGAAAGTAAACAGAGGGGGAAAAAAACACGTTTGTCAAAAAGGAATGAATACATTCTTCTTGCCGTGTATGGTTGGACATAGGCAAATTGCAGCCAAGTACTTCTCCCACACATCCTACATGAAAGATGATTGCCCTACAAAAGCACCATCAGGAGATATGGCTCCACTTTTATCCTTGCTTGCTAATTGATCACTTGACGTTCCAGACCATACTGTAGATAGTTTACATAATGTACCCAATAGAGATTCTTTACGACAATCAACTGGACAGAAATAGCAGATAAACATGCTACTAACAAGAGTCACAGAAACACTTATTTCCTGTCAAGCCAAAAAGGGGAATATTAAAAACATGCCTAAACAAAAATAGGATTAATATTCTAATGTCTGATGCACTGTTATTCATTGTAAACATCTTCCTGCTTCAATACGTTTTTATAGGAAGGTTTTACGAATAATGCAGTCAAACACCAAATAAAAAGAGATACATATCCTAGTACAGTGTAAAGAGTCTGACCCATAATGCAAATATTGTTATCAAAAGCATGAAATTACAGAGACAGCCAAGACAATCCATTAGCTTCCCGGAAGCCAAGGTGGGTATATATTACAACAAAGACCACTGGCAAGTATCCAACAACTTAAGCTGGCTATACACCAGTAGAAATTTGTTTGAAAAAATATAACTTTGTTCAATTTTCTAATAGTTAATGGGGTTAAAAATTCAATTGATGGTTTTGAATGTAGACAAAAAAATAAAAAAAAAGGTGCCGGATGGAACATTTTTGTCAAAGAAAATTCTAAGCGTAATTGTGGTTTTCATTTAGAAAACTCCAATAATTCCAAAACCAAATTATGACTTTTTGTATGAAAGTTAATTTGAAAATCTACAAGTGTATACTTAGCTTTAAACTGCATGAGATATTCTAGTGTATTTACATGGTTGTACTTCGAGGGGGTTGGAACAAGTAGACAATTTAACTGTGAAAATATGAACATTAAGGGACGATAAAATGGTAGTGTGGGAAAGGTTAGTAGGGAAAAGTCAGAGGGAGGAAAGGAGGAGGCAATAAGGTTGGGAGGTTATGGAGCCAGACCAACCAGGGTGCCCCCCGCACTAAGCCCCACATTCCTATGTACAGCTCATAATTAGATAATCCATAGCCAATTATAAAATTCCCTGGGGCAGTAATGTGTTATACATGGAGTGCAAACCTTTCTGAATTTCTTAACTGTATTACAGAGAATGGCAGCCAATTTTTTGTTGACTAAATACATGCCATTGATTGCTTAACCTGCACTACTGTCTAGTTGCCAGACCACCAGGCTTTAGCAAGAGTTTGCCTTGCTGCTGTGAAACTAAAAGGTAATGAGCCTGAATTGGTCAGAAGTACAGCTGGTTGGTTTAAGGAGAGCTTTGCATAGATTATCAGGAATACAGCTACCCAGGACGGTATATACTAACTGATATGCTCTGGTCCAGAATTGTTTGTTTCTGGGGCAGCCCCAGAGTACCCATTTCTCCACTGCCCCTAAGGCAAAAATCCAAAGCACCCCTTGTGAATTTGGCCAGTCTGTGATGGTGGATGTACCACATTTGTAATAACTGGCCTCAGTAAATTAGGAATTTAGTGAACCATGTGAGATTGTGTCCCAAATCTGGGACGCGGGGTGTACAAATTTGAGTCAGCAGGATTTTTTTTTTTCTTTAAGGAGCCAGCTCTATTGACAACAACTAGAGAGCATTAAACATTGAAAAGTCACCTGTGATTTTTAAGGAGCATGGGCTATCTGGCTCCTGGGATTTATAGGGCAGGGGATATAGCAAATCACCTTTTTGGAGGAAACTATAAATTGTTGAAACCATGCCCTTCTTGGATAGGGGATCTCAAAAGGAGTGTTTGAAAGGTGTGGGAGGGTTAAGGAAAAATCTGTAAATTTCAAGATAAAATGCA